CCTCATAAATAGAAGGTTTCTGCGCTTTCAAAATCCTATTTTATTACCTTATAATTACTATTTCAAATGTAAAAAGGTCTGAACAATATCCCTTACACCACTTCAATACATCAGATCGGAACATGGCTATATATTGACCCTTTTCAAAGCTGAAATCAAGTATTTCATAGATCACATGTAAACCAACGCCCTTGTCCCCTTTCCCAGCGTGAGAGTTTAATTTTGAAAACACCTTAAAATCTGCTAGTCAATATTTTCATCTATATTTGAATATATTTAATACGGTTGTATAAAACAATTGTGTTTTATTGTTTTGAAAAATAAAAAAGTTAAACCTGTGAGAATGGTTTACTAGTTTAATTTTATTCCAATTTAGTGTAACTCCAAAACCATTACCCATCGTTTATGTGAACAACAGTACCAGAATTTTTATCAAATAGTGCATGTGGTCACGAAAAATATTTGTAACATATTTCAGTTATATAAATTATTCATCAGTGGGAAAGCCACGCAGTGCCTCCTTCTATACAAAAAATACACAAATTATACCGCAAATGCAGAAATTATTGCTAGGTTTTTATAATTGCGAATAATGTGACTGGGTGAGTATCGCAATAATAAGAACTTGCATTTTGATATCTGATACATCACCTGTATGCAGATTTTCCTAAAATCGCAATAATAAATCTCGCATTTTTGCTCATGCTTCAAAATCATAGTCGTAATAATTATGACGAAGGCATAATTATTTGGACTACAAAAATCGCAATAATAGATGAATGCAATAATTTCTGAATTTACAGTATATGATTAATTGATTGTTGATGTTTAATGCCACTTTCAGTATTGGCTGTGTTGGGATGGCTAGTTTTTATTGGTGGCTGAAGCGAGAATGCTCAGAGAGAACCAGAGACCTTCGGTAGGAACAATCCTAGTCAATTTAGATTGAAATTGAGCGAACCCACACAAGGAGGTTTTGAATTCACAACCTTAGTGTAGACTAGCTTCTTTGGCAACTGAGCCTCAATCTGAGGCCCCACTAGTTATTTATGGAGTAAATATAAATAACAGCAAATTAATTTAAAGTGGCTGCATTATTGTTTGTTTGAATTATTGTTTTTTATTATTGTAACAATGCTTACTGTTGAGTTAACAGATTTTATAATATAATGTTGCTTATGAAGTCAAACTTTGTTATTCAAATATATTTATGATATAATTTCTATAAAAAAGACTTATATGTTAAAGTGATCAATTAAAGATATTAAAGTAATTTAATAAATACATATAATAATTTCTTTGAACTTTTCTTTTCAGGCATATATCAAGTCATTAAAATAAATGATTTATTTACAAGTCTAAGTCTTTTGTTTATTTTATTGAAGCTTATTTACTTTTAATCATAAACATATAAGATTTATTCCAGTTTCTAAGTATATACGGTATGGTTTTTATCATTGTTGAAGGCCGTACGGTGCCTGTAATTGCTTACATCCACTTTATTTGAACTTTGGTGGATAGTTGTCTCATTAGCAATTATACATCTCCTTAATTTTATATTAGTGAAATTAAAAACATTCAAATTGAAATGTGAACCTTGTCATTCTTGGACTGCTTAAGAATCAGAAGACAATTAAAATATGACTATAATTCCATAACTAAACCTTGCTTTTCAAATTTGAAGTTGGAAATTTTTTTTTATTTATTTATTTCTTATATTTACAGATAACAATTGGAATGAAGAAGCGCAGGAAACATTTCAGTTTTGAGGATTTATTGAAGGCCCGAACTAAGGACTATTTGACATTAGATGATGTTTTACATGGACTTTTTAACATTTATAATGCTTCTTAAATTTTAAGATTTATTATTATGCGTTTTTCTATTTTTTATTCAAATCCAAGTCTTAAGTCTTTTTGTTTGTTTGATTGAAACTTATTTATAAGTAAAAATATTATTTACATGTGTTTCATTCTTACATTATTTTTATATTTATTTATTTTTAATCACCTTTTTTTCTTAACATATTTATATTTTTTTAATACACACACAGCTACATTTATCATTTCCAGCAGAGACACTGTTTTTCAGCCTATTTGGTGAAACAAGATTAAAAGCTATAAACTTTAAGGGTATAAATTGTTGAAATTTTTTTTTCTTTTTGACAATCAATTGAAACAAACTTTGACAAAAAAGAAGGTGCAAGTCAATGTAAAATATTATAAATGTTACAGTTGGGATTTTTCTTCTTGCAAGGAAAGACTATTGTACTAATAATTGTGAATGCTGGTCATGATATGTTGTTTGAAGTACCCATAAGTGTGAATGCTGGTCATTATGTGTTGTTTTGGGAAAGACACTTTTGTGCCCTACGTACCACATCTTTATTTTTATATAGAATATTGGAAAGAACTTTTAATCCTTTTATTTTCTTATATTAAATAATAAAAATGGCAAATGATTGATAATATAGCTGGTATATTTGCTTTTGTTTCCATTTTTTCCATTTATTTCCCTCTTTTGTTTTTTTAGTTTAATAAAATTTAAATTTGATGTATGCTTTTGTGTTCTACTTGGATAAACCAGAGACATATAATACAATTGTATTATATGTTTCTGGATAAACCAAGTATTTTAATATTAGAATCACAAGGGCGTTTCTAGGATATTTGAAAGAGGGGCGTAGAATCAAATCTTTCGCCGAGCGAAAAAATTTTGGACCTTTTTTTTTGCTAAAAAGGAATCAGAGCATGTGTTTATTTAAAGAATATAATTTTCCATATTCAATACAATATTAGCAGATTACGATATTTTTTTTTGAAAAGGGGGGGGGGGGCGTACGCCCATTACGCCCTCACCTGGACCCGCCCCTGAATAAGTAATTTCAATCACCACAATCCAAACCATCCACCAATTCCACTTTAAAACAGTTGTATCCAATGTTGTCCAGTCGGATTAAATTTCCCACTTGTTTTTACAATGATAATCCATCAACATATATGGTCAAATTATCGAAGATAGCATTACATCTTTAGAGTAAATACTTGACATCCATGGTCATTTCACTTTAATATGGCATTTTTAATCACAAGTCGAGCATATGCATGCAATATATATTCCATTCCATGGTCAATTTTCAATATTACATGCAGTGTATCACTGAAATAGAGGTGAAAATACAAAAGGGACAACCAAACTCACAAGTTGAAAAACCGACAACGGCATGGCAAAAAAAAGATGACTGAAGACTGAGCAACAAGAACCTCACAAAAAAACAGGTGCTCTAGAGGAAAAGGCAGATCCTTTACCTCTGTATATTAAATGATTTTAATTATTCGATTAAACTAAGAAAGTTACCGTGAAGCAGGTACAGAAAATCATATTTGAACAGTTGAACTTATCTTTTCCTAGTCACGATGCATTATTTGTCAATATATTGATGACATTTCTGATTTCTCGTTAAAGTACTTCATTCGTCTGCGTTCAGATGATACTTGATTGTGTAGTTTTGTAAGATGCGGGTATTTTATGTATTAACTATTTTTTCAGACAATTGAAAGGCTTTTTACAAAATGCCCGAAGATATTACATAGAATGAAGGAGATGTACACAAAAACTAGGTCATTGATAGTATTAAACAGAGCAGTTTATTTATGGTAAGTGCTGAATTCAAAAAAATCAATTAAGAATTAACTCAACTGAAGTAAAATTCACAAGCGCTGGTCTCGACAATAATTATTTGGATGGCTATGACACATTTGTCCTGATTTTGCAAAGACAAAGTTGTGTTTTAAATATCTAGCCTTACCTGAAGTTACCACCTGCATTACAACCATGCCGCACATTTGGTGATTAATCCTGGCTATCACACATTCAGTTCTGTCAACATATTTTCAGGTAAAACACTTAATTTATGAAAAGACAGATTTTCGCAAACAGCACACACATGAATCGCTACCTCTATTTACAGTGTTCCCAAAAGATTCCAAGTAACATGATTAGCATGATTACGGTAACACAGTTACAGGTACGTAAATAGACTATCTAACGGATTTTTTTTTTAATTTGGCTTGTAACAAGAGAAAAATTATATATGTAACTTAACACCTTCTGAGACATTCCAAATTAGATATCCGGAAAATAAAAAGCCAAAAGTATAGACTACACGTACACATCGTAAAAATCGGACTCGGACTTCATTAAAACTGAATTTTACTGCGCGTATTGCTGTGTGTTTGTTTATTCCACATTGATTGGCTAGATGTATAGATCTCACAAAACATGTTAACCCCGCCGCATTTTTACGCCTGTCCCAAGTCAGGAACCTCTGGTCTTTGTTAGTCTTGTAACTTTTGTAAATTTTTTTTTTAATTTTGGTTCATTTCGGAGTTTAGTGTGACGTCCATTTTCATTGAACTAGTATACATTATTGTTTAGGGGCCAGCTGAAGCCCGCCTCCAGGTACGGGATTTTCTCGCTGTGTTGAAGACCCATTGGTGGCCTTGGGCTGTTTTCTGCTCTTTGGTCGGGTTGTTGTTTCTTTGACGCATTCCCCGTTTCCATTCTTAATTTTATTAAAGCAATTTTGACTTATAATTATTATTTCACCAAGACCTACGAATTTTCTTTGAAAATGCTATGTTATTGCTACTAAAATTTGCGTTTTATTGATAAAAAATCTATATGGGGTCAGCAATTCGTTTTTTGTGTACAAATAATTTAAAATTCTATAGATCTTGAAAAAAAGGCACAGAAAAGATAACATAGTGACTGCATCGGACTCTTATTTTTCGACGTTTTTGGACATTACAGATACACCTGAATAATGTATACAGGGAAAATGTATAAATTACTTCAGAGATTGTTTTTATAATTTCAAAGAATTTTGTGGAATATGATTGGCCGCAATATTACTGGTATATGTTTAAAATTCACCAGGGTAAACCAATTAGAAAGTGTCATAAAGTCCTTATCTCATATATACTACACTATACTTTTTGTAATTTTATTGGAATGTAAATAATAATAATAATATGCTTTATTTGAAAACACTATGTCACATTCACATGTGAAACAAGAGGTAAGCATGTACAAAATACAATCACATACAATCATAAAAAGAAATAAAACAACTCTAAAATGGAATATATAAATAATTACTATACTTTATAATACTTTAATTAACTTTGAAACGAATAAAGATACATTTTTAGTGCCTTTATATTACCCAATGATAGTAATCCTTTCATTTTTGCTGCGCTGGGATATTCAACATAGTACTGAAGAATGTGTTGATTTCTGATATTTTTTACTAAGATGGAATTGCATTCGAATAAGCAATGGTATTCATTACCAATAGCAATCGAACACATATTACATACCCTCTCTTCTTTCGGAATATAGTATCATCTACCCAGCTCTACTGAAAATTTCACATTACAGCATCTTAATTTAGAAATATATTCACGTTCAATTGGTGATAATTGTACAAGATACTTTTCTAGACCAAACTTTGTTTTAAACAGACCGTAAAATTCACCTCTGGAAGAATTGTCAATTTGACTAGACCATTTTTGAATGTATGCATCTTTCGGAATTTTCTTTCAGAACCGGCGTGTTTCAATTGATTTATATCTACTGGCAATTGCTGAGTCCAAACATAGCTAAGTCCAGAATTGTCTAAAATCGATTTAAGATAGTCAATCCACTAGAACGTGTAATCATCTTTTAAGTTGAACATTATTTGATACATGATATTGCTTAGTTTGTTTTCATTGGCGAGAAGTTTATTCCAAAAAACATTCTAACTTTTATTATGGTATCTATTGGTGTACGACCAAGTTCTCCATATATCATAAAATTTGTTGTCGAGGATCTAATTTTTAACACATTTCGGCAAACCTGTAGTTGAGTTTTTCCAGCATGTAATTGTTTCCGACTCCCCATATTTCACTCCCATATGTCAGAATGGGAAGTATAAGTGCATCAAACAGTTGTAATTGCAAGTCGATATGTATTGAGAGGTTACGTATCTTTTTTATAAAGACTAAATGATGCTTTCTGTGCTTGTTCGCTTAGACGTTTTTGTTTTTTTTTTGCTGTAGCAAATGAACCATTGTAATTAAAAGTTAGTCCTAGATAAATGAAAAAGGATCTTGAATTTCAATAGACTGGTTAAAAAGTTGACACTTTGGTAATTTTCGTGATTTCCGTTTGCAGAACACAACCTTTGTCTTCGAATACTATTACCTGGTAAGTTAGCCTGAAAAAACTGATTTGTACAAAGCGGCATATTTTAATGTCATCTTAACTATCATTTATATATGCATGTTATATTTGCTGAATGATTATTAATGTACCCAACCTGCTAATTCATTAAGGTTATCAGGGTAAATTAACATTTGCCATTAAACGTACAAAAGATTGATTACTGATTAATCGTAAAATATTTGAGATACTAGGAGAATTTTGCTATTAAAACGGGCAGTACATACCTACTTATGATAAAAGTAAAGCAGAATACGTGTTCCCATTTTGTGAGTGTTTGTACTGGAAGTGACGGACATAAATGAACATTTTATGATGATAACAGTCTTGATTGAACCATTTCTAACACCTTTTAAAAAATTGCTAAATGACGCGTTGAAATTTCCCGTAATTTAACGTCTATTATTATGACGTCAATGTGGAGTAAACGTTTCGAAGTGCAAGTAAACAGCAATGTTCACTATCTATGAGGTAAGTTAAAAAAAAACAGAACAAGTGTCGGAAATATTATCGATAAGCGTACCATACACTCCAATTGAATGGAGTTGATGCTTGGACAGTGTAAATTACATTGTCATAGTTTTATGACATTGTCTTTGAACATCAAAATGCTATTTACTATATACTAGTGAGACTGTGTCATCCTGATTCAAAATAACTTTGATTTAGAAAAAGTGCTTTGCAACCGCGGACAAAAACCAGAAATTGGACTGTATAACGAATATGGATAAAATTTTCACTGATATTTCATATATTTGGGCTGCGTTTTATTTACGTGCTCAAAAGTGTTTATTTTCATGTTTAAATTGGTGAATATTTTCAATCCTTTTTGTCTGCATAAAAAAATGATACTCGCGACATCACGAAACGTAATAATCATTTAGCAAATATTTTCTGATTCAGACTTTTAAAAATGTTTAATCAAGGGTTGTATAAAAAGATCTCACGTTGTAGAAACTTTCGATCTGTATTCCTCTGTAAATGCCCAATAGGCAAATTCTGTAATGTAAATTCCTTCCTCGTAAAATTAACGTTGCGCAATCTCAGCAACTTGGTAAATGACGCATCATCCGATCCATTGACATCCCCATTTCTATGCGTAGTTTGTAAATGAAAAAAAGCTCACTGTTTACAGTATATTTTTAGTGAAAAAAGACATGTTTATGAAAGGTTCCATACCATGTGGATGATGAATTTTATAATTGTGCTGTTGTTAGTGCTGGTTGGATTGACAGAAAGGACACATGCCGAAAATACTGCAGTAGTTAATGGACAAGTAAAATCCATAAAAAGAAACAGTTGTCAATTGAACTGCAAGCTCCCGAATTTTCTGCAAGTACTATGTAATCCATTGATACCTCACCTTCATTGTAAGAAGTCGTCGGTTGAGAAAACAATCAAAAAGTGAGTTTCATATTGAACGTATCACAGTCTTAAGATTAACACTCTCTCACTTCATTTTTCAATAACCGCCTAGGTTGCCTAGTGTTAGCGTGAACAGCCTTAATTGCAAAAGGTCTTGGGTTCGATTCCCAACCGGTCAAACCAAAGACTTGAGAATTGATATATTTCCTGCTTTTCTGTAAATCACGCCTTGAGAATTGATATATTTCCTGCTTTTCTGTAAATCACGCGATATTTCTGAGTAAGAACAAAGACTAGTCGGCTCGGGTTCAGAATAATGTGTCCGGGTATGATGACATGTCTTCCTGCCGACTGTTACCATGAGAAATCCATCTCAGTGTGTTGGTCTAGTTCAAAGCAGTGTCTATACAATGTCCTCGTCCTGAAAATGCATTTAGTTTTCAACAGGACATTAAACATCCATCTAAGTGTGAAAATGTTTCAGAATTTAAACAAAACACATTTTGTAGTATCCTATAATAGAAGTATATTGGCAAAGTTGAGGTTAAGTCCCAATGATCTCAACATTAAGAAAGGTAAATACATTAGTTTTTAAATGTTAAAGATCAATTATGTAATCTTTGTGATCAGTGATCAGTTTCACAAAAAAAATCAGGTACATTTCCTTATGAACTGTGCCGGTCTTCAACAATAACAAAAACATTAGTAAAGTCCATTAGTATTTTAACATACTCCTTCCAGAAAACAATTTTACGTGGATCAAGAGTAATATAAAAATATTGTCTATATATTATTTAAATTTGTAGCTTCGTTGTTTAGAAACCATTCGCATTTGAGCAAGTTAAAAACCAACAATGCTTTTAAAAAAAAGTACAGCTGGAAATACTCAGATCAATGAAATATTATTTACTATGTATTTCCATTATTTGAATTCTTTTTTATTTTATTGGGTGGAGGGGGGTTAATCACTAGAACTATTATTATTATAATCAGGAACAAATTAGAATGAATTATTGTAATTTCTTTATTTCATATATTATATTTATGTATTATTCATTGTAATCGTTCTTCTCCTTGTGGGCGTTTTCATTAACACAAAGTATCTGTATAAAAAAAGTCCGACAGTCACATAATCAAATACACATAGATAATCAATTATTGAAAAGCAAAAAGTTGTGTACTAAAGTATTCTTGTTCTGATTACGTTTTCTATACATGCCTTAAAATATTGGTATTTTTTTTTAGATTAACTCAGGTTGAAAACACCATCAAATGTTATTGCATGTGGCATGCAGTTCTCAGGGATGGAAGAGTGGATAAAAGTGTTTTTGCCCAGATGGTTGACTACACGCCTTACAACAAAACAAAACAACTGAGGGTTAGGTTGTCAACACTGGGAAGAGAATGTCAAGCTTTTAACGATCAACTATGTGGTAAGTTAATGTTTTGTAAAACAAATCAATGAATTATTTACTTTTCGCTGGTTCTCGTTTTTTTTCTATGTCGCGTTTCAAAAGGCTGTGCATAACCATAAGCTAGTTTTATGATCCGCCTATGTGCCTTAGTTTATAGTGCAAAGTAAACAGACAAAAAAAAGTTTCAATTTCAATAATTTAATGTACCTCCCCCACCCTTTCTAAATTTTAATTTTTCAATTGTATACGGAGATTAATTTTGAAGACATGTATGTAGCACCAAACATAGTCTGATTGCAGTTTTTGACATTTTTACTTATTATGTCTGTTTGTTTTCTCACACATTGTTGTCAATATAATGGAATTCTATGCGACTGTCATACAAGTGAGAGGTTAAGCTGGTTTAATCCACCATTTTCTGCATAAGGAAATGCCTGTACCAAGTCACGAATATGACAGTTGTTTTCCATTCGTTTGATGTATTTGAGCTTTTGATTTTGCCATTTGATAAGGGAATTTCCGTTTTGAATTTTCCTTGGAGTTCGGTATTTTTGTTATTTTAATTTTTATTGACTATACTTAAAATGAACCTCATCAAATACGATTCCAAAATAGTCACTAACAAGGAATAAATATTTAAAAAGTCGTAGTAATAGATTCCATTGAGCACAAAACTAATCCAAATCATATCTGAGGTAGTTAATGCAAACCTTAGCTGTGCATTATTCAGATTATAGTACAGTAAGAACAAAGAAATTTTGCCTATGTCATGTGTTAAGATGACGTTATTTGAAAAAAAAAATATGCCAAATTGGGATTTTGACCCAGATTTGACGATTCACTGGAGTAGAAATGTGTTAGTGGGGCTTGTTCATGGAAACATGTTCCTGTTTCAGACATGTTTTACAGCGAGTTAATGATCTTCGAAAAATCCAAAAATTAGAGATGAAATTGGGGAAAAATTGTGGAGTTTTGTAATTTAAAAAACAAAATGAATATTTAAACTTATTTATTTTTTTAGGGTGGGATGAAATGACCATACATAGTCATTGTTTTATCTTAAGAGCTTGATTGAATTACATTCCATAAAATTAAATCAAAGCACCAAGGGCGCTATAGGCAGTTAATTATAAAACCAAAGGCAAACTTGACAGAAGTAAAGATGAATATTGTGGAAGAATTGGTGAAAATATTTATCTCAGCTATTTCTCAAGTATCAAATAATGTTTGTACCGTAATGTTTCCGCTATCCAATCCTACCACTTTCAAAAGATATTTCCAATTTATTTTTTAAAGATTCAATGTCTGAGATTATGCACATACACTGTCCCATGTTTGGGGAGAGTTTTGTGCCAGCTAACATGTTTAACCCGCCACATTCTGTATGTACATGTCCATAGTCACTGTGTATCATCGCCACCGGAAATTGGGTACTAACGAAGCGGAGAGAAATGGAAAAAAAAGTAAACAAGTTAAGAATTCATTCAATTTAAAGCATTTCAACTGATTTGACGAGGGTACCGCTTAAGAAATGATTTTCTGATATATAATTCTTTAAATTATTAGGCCGATAAGTACAAAATTAAGACAAGATTTTGTGTTATACTCAAGAACTTGTCACTTAGTACCTGAAAATTTCGAGGTCGATCGTCCACTGTCGCCCCATTGGCAAGATATTCAACTGTTTTTCATTATTTTTCCAGACACTTTTTTAGATTATTATAGTGTGGCATCATATTTACTGAAATTTGTTGTCAAAATGAACGTTTTTCAAGAATATAGACCATAAAAAATAAAGTCTAGGGTACGGCAACTTGCTCGTGTTGACAAATTTACTGTATGGCAACTTGTTTTCAACTGTATGGCAACTTGCTAATTTCAAAATATTTATTTGCCGTCTTCTTAAAGAAAATAAAGTATTAGGTTCAAATATCTAATTATGCATTTGATAAAAATACAATTCGCTTGTCACCATTTAAGATGTATACACAATATAAGGCTTGAACACAGTCCTATTTCATCTTTTACATACCTGATGTATACAATATGAATACGGCATATACAAAAGCTGGCAAATGTTGTAACTTTCGGAAAGGCATGTCACTGTTTTACTGACCTGTTGTTCTGCCCTGACGTAGCGTTAAATGTTACCCATGTCCGTCCAGAAAGTCCTAATAATTGGTTTCCGTTCTCTAACTTTAGTATGCCTTAACCAAGTGTTTTAAAACTTACACGAAATGCTTATCACCACAAAACACAGATCAAGTTATAAATTGGGTAGCGTCACTGTTACCGTTCTTGAGTTATGCCCTTTTATAAATGAAAAAAGCTTAAGCTGTCGTTTCTGTTCTCAAACTTTAGATTGCCTCAACCAAATGTTTTAACCATACAACATTAGTCAGCATTTGCATATAAGTGATGAACATTTCGGGGATGGGTTGTGGGTGGAGGGAAGGAAAGAGGTAATGGCAGGATAATTTTTCCGCATTGAATATTTAGAACCATTAAGTGAATGAATTCTCTTTCAACTTTCAGATGAAATGAATGATATGAATGAATTATCATTCTCTGCAAAAAAAAAATATTGTATTGCTACACCACGGCAGCATGTTAAGGGAGGTTTGAGTGCTCACAAACATGTTTAAGCCCGCCTCAATATATATGTGTCTGTCCCTGGTCAGGAACATGTAATATAGCGGCTGTCGTAAGTTGCTGCCTCACATATCTGTTTATGATTTTGTCATAAATCAGGCAATTTTGATACGGTATGGGTTTTGTTCATTGTGAAGTGTATAGTAACCAATAGTTGGTCAAATCTATTTCATTTGGACTTTGTTTGAAAGTCCTCTCAGTGAAAACCATTCCACGTCTTCTTTTTTCAATTAATGTTATTGTCTTATTTGTAAAAGGCAGATACAGCCAATATATTAGAATAAAGAACATTAATTTTCTAAAAAAAAAACTTCATCTCTATATAGTAAGAAACGAACAAGCTCGGTGGCTAACACTGTTTGAATTTAAAAAAAAATATTAACCTTAGATTAATCATTTTTGGAAAGAATGAAAAAAGAATCCGATACAAGGGATACAAATCTGGCTGTGGCTACGGCATACACTATTTATATAAACTTTCTACTTGAGAATAAAGATGACCTTGTATGAAGTTTTTTTTGGTTGTCATCTTAATATTATATACTTATTAATACAATTCACAAAAGCTAGCATCTTCGACTTGTAAGTTTAAAGAATTATAATGAAATAACATCAAATAAGGACAGGTTGAAATATTTTTGAATCCTGATGGTGCATACTCATAAATTCTTTTGGAACAGTCCACGTAAATTTAAATGTTGATTTGATAGCGTTCATTTATTGATTTGCCCTCGTAAACAGTTTTGTTAAAATACCGAAATCGGTAAATTCTTATCGTGAACGAATAAGTCGGGTACACCTTTTTACATTCAGGCGTGCTTAAGTTGCACTTTTTTCTTCTTATTAAGAAAAATGATTTTAATTTTAGCATCTATCTAAAGATTAGATTATTTACACACACACAAAAATAAGGCTTACTGTTGATTTTGAAACTCTATGAATTCACATTTATATTCAACCAAACAGATAGGCCGAGATCCATACCTTAATAAGTTTCAAAACAGAGAAGGTGTGTTTGAAAACAAATAATCACGTACTGCTATATCTTTTAAGGCAAATGCAAGTCTTACTTGTATTAATTATATAACTTTAACTGGCACAATATCACATTAAAAATTACTGAGAAATATTATACATAGTAATCATGAAAATGTACTACTGTAACAATGAAAATTCGGACGAATACACTCCTTTTCACCACCCCTCCATCTACTCATTTAAGTTTAGGCCAAACAGTCTTAGCAACAGTCTTTTATTATTTTTTCCCTGTAAATAAAAAGATTGATTGAATTTACTTAAACTAAAAAAAAAATGCAATCTTATTTTCAATAAGAAACAAGAAAATTAATTCGAAACACAATTCATGATTTTCTTCACTTTTCTTTTAACAAATATTCATTTCAGAAATTTAAAAAATAAACAATAAACAATGTTGAAAACCGTACCTTGACCTATAATGGTTTACTTTTATAAAGTGTGACTTGGATGGAGAGTTGTCTCATTGGCACTCATACCACATCTTCCTATATCTATTTAACCCAGCACATTCTTTATGTGTCTGTCCGAAGTCACGAGCCTGTAGTTTGGTGGTTGTCGTTGGTTCATCTCTATCATATTTGTTATTTTTCGTAAATTGTTTTGTTGTGAGTTAGGCCGTTAGTTTTCTTGTTGAATGCTTCCACAATTTTCATGTCGGGGCTTTTTATAGCCGACTGTAAGGTACGACTTTTCGTTGTTGAAGGCCAAAATATAGCATATAATTGCTTACATACACTTTATTTGACCCTGGTGGATAGTTATCTTATTTGCAATCATACAACATCTCCACTGTTTATATTTTTAAAAAAAACAACAGCACCAACAAAAGATGAATGGTCGGTTTTTTGTATTGAACTTGCAAAATTTCACCCTGACAACAAATAAGACAACAGTCGTTATTATTATAATGATATATGAATGTATTTAGGATAATATGGTTGAAAAAAACCTTTTTGTCTTTAAAAACACAAAGTCAAATAGAGGTACGCAACGACGACTTCTGAACGGAATTAACGGCATATATTTTATAATATTTGATAAGTAGTTTATTTTGTATATTTGTAAGCCGGTAAAGCTTTGATACAGCCAAAATATCGTCACTTGATGTTATCTAAACAGTGATTAATTTCATCTTTAAATTACAATATATAGCAAGACGCCGTACAGACAAAAGTTGTTATTTTGCAATTCGCCGTACAACGTCCTGCAATTCGCCGTACAATAAACAAACAATGTTTTGGTCTATATTCTTTAAAAACATCTTTATGACAACAGATTTCAGTCAAAATGATGTCACACTATCATAATCTAAAAACGTGTCTGGAAAA